GGGGGAGGAGGGGGGAGGTAAGCAGGGATTAAAGGGATGAAGGTGGTTTTGCCCTCAAGGGACAAGCGGACACCCTGAGGCCAGGGGAGATGCTCTCCCCTGGGGGTGACACGCGACTCAGGGTTGGGGTTGGGTTTTTTTCCCCTGCATCGATTGCCTTTTCCGGAGATTTGAATTTTCTATTTCTTGTCACTAAACTCCCTTTTCCCCCCCCTTTAAAAGCCATTGTCCACAACATCCGTCCCTGTTAAATAATTCGCAGAAAGGTACCCGGGGGTACGTCCCCGGGGGGAGGCTATTTCAGATCCCTGGGGCTCAGTTTCCCCGGGGGGGTGGGGGGCGGTGACACGGGAGCCTTTTGTAGCCTCCGAGTTACATCGGGAATCTTAAATTTAGCAGCTGGTCACCCCTCACCGCAGGGACGGGAGCGAGGGAGGGCGTGATTCAAGGTATGTCTGAATCATCCTTTAGGATTCCGATTCCCAGGGCTTAAAATGAGGGAATCAGCGGGAAAAGGGATATTTGGGGGTTGCCAGTTGATTTATTTTTTTTTTTTTCCCCCACCTCCGTTGCCAAATGCGCGGCTGTGACTGACATAATTCTGCCAGGGAAAAGCAAGTCGGCACGGCAGTGACTCAGCTCAGGCCGTGCCCTGTCGGAGGAAAAGCTGAGCCACCGTCCCCTCCCGCTCTTTCCCAATTCTCGGAGGATTGGGGTGGGGTTGCGGGAGGGGCTCTGCGGCACGGCACGGCGGGGTGGCACGGCGCGGCACAGCGGGGTGGGTGGGGTGCGATGGCAACGCTGAGCGATGCTTCTTCCAGTCCCTTCTAGAGGGTTCCGTCGCGATCCCCTGGGGCGATGCGATGCCACGCAGACCAGGGAGGGAGGGAGGGAGGGACAGTGGGCGAGGGGGATGCGCAGGGACCCCCCCTCGCTGTCCGCTCCGCAGGGGGCTCGGCACAGGGAGAGGGTGAGACCCCCTTACACGGTTTGATGGAAAAAGGGGTCATTTGGCTGGCGGTTCCGTCCCTCCCGGCAGAGCGGGATGTGGGGTCAGCCCCGTCTTTGCTCCCCGCTGATGCGGCCCCACAGGTATCGAGGTGCCCAGGGTGGATTTTGGGAGGTGCGGCTGGGAAGGGGCTGGCCCCCACCCCAGCCTTCCTTCCCACGCTCCCCTTTGTGCGTGTGGGGAAACTGAGGCACAGGGCAATGAGTCCCATTGCACGCCCCTCCAAATTACGGCTCAGAGAAGGTGTTTCCTTGTGACCAAGGCCATGGATAAGACCAGTGGCAGGGCTCAAGTCTGCATTTAGACCCAGCCTAGAGTCAAACCTCCATGACACCACGCTCTCCTGCCCCATCGATTTATTTTCTTTTGGGGTGTGTGTGTGTGGGGGGGTATCCTGTGGGATTTGGTCAATATGGCAACGCCTGAGAGTTGAGGCCGCTTTGGGGCAACTCCTGCGCCTTTGGTAGAGCTTTTCTCCTCCTCTTCTCCCCCCTCGCCCCCTTTGCAGACTGAAAATGCTGGACACCATCAGCAGCCAGTACGATTCCTTCATCTACTGGAGGATGCCGATCCCGCGGCTGGACGTGGCGGAGCTGGAGGGGCTGGGGCTCAGCGACGTGGCCATCTACAAGCCCAAAGGAGGGCTGGGCAAGCTCGCCGGCGAGCGGGATCGGGTCAGCCAGGACATCTCCGACGAAGAGGACACTCTGCTGCAGTTCAACAGCTTTAATTTCTGGAGAGCTCCTATCGCCAGCATTAGCTCATTAGATTTCGATCTAATTTGAAGCCCTCCTTTCTGCCCTCCTCACCCCCCCTGCCCTCTCCCTCTCTGCTAGGCATGCGAGGATTTGGTTTTGTTGTCGGTTTGGAGGTTGGTTTTTTTGTTTCCGGGAAGCTTTTGACATCATTAATTAACTCAGCACTTGACCCCAGCCCTGATGGTGATGGGCTCCCCGCAAAGCTTCAACCTTTCTCCACCTTCTCCCTCTTTTCTTCCCTTCCTGCAGTGGAAACACCGCCACGGTGCGAGCAGGGGGTAACGGCACAGGGGGCGAATACGAGGGGAGGGGGCAGAAACAGCCACCCCCTTGCCCCGCGTCCATGTGCCAGCGGGTGCAGGAGGTGCTGAGGGGGTTTCTTCCAGGACCCCGCACCCTATGGCTGTGTGACCGTGGGCGTCCCCGTGCTCAGGGGTGAGCGTTTGAGCTCATTTCTCCCGTGCTTTTTTAAGAAACTCATTTGTGCAAAGGGAGCGGCACAGGACTGATGGGAATCGCTCTTTGTTTTGCGGAAAGCATCGTCCCCGCTCCTCTCCCAGGGACGCAGAGACCCTCTGCGCTCCCCTGGCCCAGTTTCTCCAAAAGCCACTTCACTCCTTAACCTTTCCCTCGGGATAATCAAGGTGGAAGAGGCAGGGGTGTGCCGGGGACATGAGCACAAACCTCTTTCTTGATAGAAATTATCTCTTTGCACCTTGTGGCTTGAGCCCAAGCAGGAGAAACAATGGCCAGGAGGGCAAATACACATGGAAATGCTCCGACCTTGCTCGGTGGGGTCCAGGCTGGTTGTTCACTGCCCAAAATTTGATTCTTCTCCCTTTTTTTATCCCCTGCGTACTTTATCCCAGGTGTGACTCCAACTGGGACAGAGGCCGGGTACATCACGGGGTCCGGATGGGCTCAGCTGAAAGATAAGATGAAGAATTTAGTTTGGTCTTACCCCAAAATGAAAACGTTTCTGGTTCCCCACCCAATTCATCAACCCCCTTCAAAATAACAATCAAAAAATGCTGCTGAATGCGAGCGGAAGCCTCGCGTTTTCCTCGGGGAGGTTTTCCCCCGCGCTTTCCGCGGGCTGAGGTTGATTTCTGAACATCGTCTCAAAACAGGGGGGGAAAAAGAAAAACCCAACCCTGAATCATTTTTGGCTTTTAAACATTTTTCTTTTCCCCCCCCCGATTGTTTCCTGGGAGAGCGAACGCGACTGGTTTGTCTTCTTTGAATGTGCTTTTTTTGGATTTAATTGAGGTGAAGTTGTGATGTGGAACATCCTGAAATTGTCCTAAGAGTTGGGGGGGGGCACGTGCCCAGGGGGAGGCTGAGACAGCACTGAAAAGGTGCCCAAAAATAGGCAAATAATGGAAAAATGCGCACTCTGTTCTGAAAAGGGAGCACAGCTCTCCTGTAACCTCCAGAACGACCCAGCCTGCTGAATTTGAACCCCCCGCATTAAACCAGAGGTGAAAAATGTAAACTCTCCTACACAGAGCTGTTCAATTTCTGTGTTCCCAGCTGGGAAAACCCGCAGGAGAAGTACTTATTATGAAACTTTAAATAAAATGATTTAAAAACATACACATTCCTGTGGACACTTAAAAAAAAAATATCCATGTAGACAGGCATCAAGTTCTTCCCGTAATTTACCATTAAATTGTTTTAGACTTATGGCGAGCTGATGTGAGGCAGGTACCTGTGTGTCTTCGCAAGCACTGCAGAGGATTTAAGCTCAGGAAAAAAAAAAAGCCAAAGGGATTATTCTAAGAACATTAAGGATATTACTTAAACTTCACCTTCTCCAAACCTCACAGGAAAACGTCCCAGAGGAACCCCAGAGAAGGAGGCGGCCCTAGGGTTTCACATTTACCTCAGAATGGGCACTTTGAGCGTGTCAGGGACACCTGAGGGGGTAACGCACCACAGAGCGGGGCTCCTGCACCCTGAGGGGAGCCCACTCCTGGACAGGAAGACACTCGGAGGAGGTAGATACACACAGAGCACTTAAACACACACATAAATATATATATATATATATACACACACACTTATAGACAGAGGCACAGGGACCAACCACCCACCTCAGGCCACCCGCCCCATCACCTCAGGGAGGCGCCACCGCCCCAGGCACGCGCCCCAGCCGCCGCCGCCCTTTTATACTTGGCGCCTAAACGCCTCTGCCGGAACTAACTTCAGGGGCGCATCACCGCCATCCGCTTCAGAGCCATTCGACTCTTCCTGTTATCCTTCCGCTGGAGAAAATACTTCCCCTCTGGGTCTCCCCTGTTGCTCGCCGCTGTCCTCCCTGGGCGGGGAGGGGGCCTCATAAAAGAAGGAGGAATCTGCTAATCCCGCCCCGTGCCCTCCGAGGCAAAGCGAGAGGACTCCCAACCCGCCAACAGTGGCGGACTCTTTTGTTGACGGTAGAGGTATCCTTCCGCCTCACAGC